GCTGATTAATTGTTTTGTTTTTGTTTTGATTACACTCAAATATGCAATTGCTACTGCCACTGGCTCGTTCTGCGTTCTGCGATCGTCAGCGCACGGGACACCCAGCACTCGTTTCCGCCAGCTTCAAACGAAAGACTTAGGCAGCGAACTTGCTGCCTTGCTGCCGGCCTCTAACGAAAGACTTCGCCAGCGAACTAGACGCAGTTGCAGTGGCCTTCATTAGCCGGCCAAGGCTTATATGCTAATGCCCCATCGGCATCCTCATGTGGGGTCCACATCCCCAATCCCCATCCACTCCACCCGGCATGTCCTGCTGTCAGAGTGGCCACTAAACTGGCATTTATGCGCAGCACCTGTTGGCTGCCACCGCCTGTTAGACATTAATCCGTGGCATTTAGTTACGCTTTAATAAGATTTCTTGCCCCCGGCGAGTACGTTCTGCTCCTCGGCCGTCTGCCGGGGAAAGCTGGAAAGCATTCTCAGTCTTTGTTTTGTTTTTTTTCTTTTTCTTATTCTTATTTTTTTGCGGCAGCTGAAGCTGCAGACAAAGCGACGCGCTGCACAAACCACACTGGCTTTCCATGGCTGTGGCGCCCCATTTTAACACCCGGGTGTGTGTGGTTATTAAAGTGGCAAGACTTCTGCTTTATGCAGGGTATTAAGTGTTTTATAGCTGGGTAGCAGAGCACACTGACGGTTTAAGTAGGGGAAGTCAGGCGATCTCTGTTTAAACAAAGCTATAAAAACTAAATTCCTTAATTGAACATTTTGTATTAATTTTATAATTGCTATTCAACTTTGTTTTGGGCCTGTGCTAGGGTATCTCCTGCGCTCAATAATGCTGATTGCTGATCTATTGGAATTTCAGTAATGAGGAAAAGCTGCTCCCCAGCATAGTATTAAGTTCTTCGACGGCATGCCATCGTCATAATGATAATCGCGATCATCGGCATGCAAATGCGCACTGGCGAATGCCTGTGGCTTGTGGAATATCTAACGAGTGTTGAACTAATTAAGGTCGAGCGCACCAGACCTATATAAGGCTTCAGAATACCAGCTATATACATATATACATGCCATATTGTCAGTATGTTTCCGGGGCCATTAAGAAATTACACGAATTTCGATCTTAAGCGAGGCAAAAGTGCAACTGTTATATGGCCAAGAGATCGAGATGGAGATCGAGATCGCTGAAAGGGCAAACACTCTTGAGTTGTACGCCCGAACACTCGACTTGGAATCGGAATTGGAATGAGGATGGGGAATGACGGCTGAGACAATGCCGGATGATGATCTGCCAAGATCCAGATGCAGATCCAGATCTACCCAAGGAGGAGCCAGTGAGCTCCTCAACTCATATTCATTCATATTTGTATTTACTTAACTCGCCGATGAGGACGATGACGATGATGATGATGATGGTGACTTGCAACTTAACGAGAGTTGAATCTGTTGCCTTTATGCCCTCATACTGTATTTCCCTCCGAATGCGAAAGAGCCGGTCTTCATGTTTTATGGGATATGGGACGCCCGTTGGCCGTGTAAATGGAGTTTCGACAGCCTAATTGGAGATCAACGCAGTATAATTGTCTGGATGCCCGGCTCCTCCGGCTTCTGATGATGAAGTCGTGGCCCGAGAACAGGTGAATGAATTTGTGACAGCCGCACAAAGGCAAATGATGTATTGATAGCATCTGTTTTTTCTGTTTTTTTTTCTTTTTCTGGGCGGAGGAGCTGGGGAAAACGGCAGCCAAAGCGGCAGGACGTCTGCACTCATTCGCCGAAGCGATTGTGAGTCGAAAAGTCTGGACTTTTATGCCGATGCTGGCCTTTGTTGCCTTTTTGGCTGCCAGTTGTTATTATTCTGGATCTTGGCTTTGTGGCCGGCCGACCGGTCCTTTGTGAAAGGACAAATGCAAATCGAGGGCTGTAATTTCTGTTACAATTTGTTGTCTCCTTTATGATCTGCTTCAGATACATCAAAAGGTTGAATGGTTAATGGAGTAAATGGTTGATGTATGGCTTTAAATCGATTGTTTTCCTTATTGAAATCAAGTATGTTTTACTGAACGAATGAATGAATGTTCGAGGTATGCATTTGCAAGGTGAAAAAATGAATAAAAAAAACCTGATCCTTCGAGCCGGATTTGAACCAGCGACCTATGGATTTCTACTTATTGCAATTCCGATCTACAGTCCACCGCTCTACCAACTGAGCTATCGAAGGTCTATATATGGCCCGCCGCAAAACGAGTTCATAAACAATCCGAGTGAAAGACAACTTATCAGCTGATACAAATTTAAGTGCCGGTGATTCGATGGCGAGGCGGCTTTTGGGTTTTGGGGGGAAATGAGCTTGGCTTTATGCAGAGCCAGCAATGAATATCGAATGCGAGCGCCGATTGTTTTCCGTTTTCTTGGGTTTCTTTCGGCCAGATGAAAGCAAGGCGCCGGGTGTAAACACAGACAGTGCGTATCGGGGGCGACAATTAACGTGGCCACCTAGTAAACGCCGGCCATGAGTCATCTCCCCGGGGAACCGAATACTCCTATAAGTAGTTGGAAGCATCGCCTGTGGCCTGTGGACTGTGGAGATTCGGGAATCCAACGAAGTGAATCATGCCAAAGGCGCGCAGAAGACACGATCCTCCTTATCAGCCAAGTGGAAAGAGGTCCGGAGGTCCAGAGGATCGGGAGGCCTAGGAGGTCCAGAACCACGAATATCTCGGCAGCAGCACTCGGACAAAGTGTGTTCCCGATAAGACAGAGGGCAATTTTTGACGGCCCGAAAGGGAGATACTTAACAAACCAATTAGGATGCCAAAAATGCGGCAAGTCATAAAATTGGAAACCGAAAACGGTCAGCCGACCAATATCGGTTTATCTATATGGGAATATCAATTAGGGATGGAAGAGCTCGTATACTAACTATAGGGAATTCGAATATCAACCAAAAATAAATTAATAAGAAATATATTTGCAAAGAATTTCAGTTTACTGTTTAATAAATCAAACCTAGGCATGCGTTACTTCAAAAAACAAATACCTGTGGAACAACAACAGAAATACTAATAAAATATTAAAATGGCCTTTCCTCAGATCTCTAGATCGACCATCTCTAGAGCCCACTTACGATGGTCGAAAAAGGTTAGCCAAGAGTGCATCGGAGGAAGCGGAGCGAAAAAACTGACAGCTTACGGATAATTACCGAGGAAAACACACAGATGCAGGGATGCTCGAGGAGGGGGCGGGGGCCAGGTGAGCCAGTGGGAATGTGGAAATGAGGGACAGGTGAGCGGGAGAGCAAGGCGGTAGAGCGGCAAAGCGGGACGGCCAAGCGCCATGAGCGGCGACTTGTGTGTGATCCATTGAGCGAGGTTTTCGGCTGCGAGTGTGCGTGTGGATTGGATCGATTGCTCAAGCGTCTTGTTAGATAAGGAAAAATGATTCCCGCGGCGAGGGGTCAGTCGCTGGGCTGGTTATTCGTAATTTGCCCAGGTATCTTACAACAAATGTTCATAATTTTTAAGAATGACTAGAGTTCGGCCATCGGCTTAGTTTCTCCTTTTTGCTTATCAGGGGTTTTCGATCTCCTTTCGAGCGGTGGGCCCTCTTGATCTCGGTATCAATTTCCCGCTATGATTGAATGAATTTTCCCAATACCAATCCGAATCCCAATCTCAATATGAGGGCGTTGTCTTATCGCTGCAAAAGATCTTGCTCGGCCCAGGAAAAATTGCCAAGTTCCTCGGAAAACCCGAGAACTATTTTGGCAAGGACTTAGACCCCTGAGTGGACTTTATCTCACCACGCCTCTTGTGTGGCAAGTCAACGGACCTCAGCCTTGTTTTCGGCCGCCTGATGAGTCATTTAATTGGACCCGAAAAAATGTACCTTGCCATGGGATGGATAAATTAATTTACTCTTCCGATAAACCCAGACAAAATCCCCGCGTGACTCATCCAACCTTCCTGCGGTGGAATTGCATCTCGCTCTTGATTTTCATTTCGTTCAGTTTTGTAATAGTGCCTAATCGGCGGAACTATTAATAGCCTGAGGTCAGATGCGTTTTTCAAACTACAGCTGAGAAGAGGGCGATCCCCATCCTATCAGTGATTTATAATGAGTTAAAAAGCCACAATTTGATTTTATATATATTATGTTTACGTACGATTCAGCTGGCATGTTGAAATCAAATTGAATAACGCTATTTTAGTTTAGGTATTTTAATAAAGCTGTTTATTAATGGAAATGTTTAGGCTGTTGTGCACTTTCATTGGCCTGACATTGATTTAAACAATCAACTAAGCATACGTAAAATTTGTTGTCGACCTGAAATGCGGTATAATTAATATTTATTACCCGCCCTTATCAGCATCAAAGTTCATTCAGCTGTTTGAATAGTTATTCCAGATTCCTATCGTTTCATTTGCCAGCAATTTGTTACGTTTTAGACAGTTCCAGAGAAGTTGATATGCATGCAGATCGCTATCAGCTGCCTTTAGCTTTTAGCTGGCTCATTTAATTAACAAATTACCCGTTGAGCTGCGACTTCACAGCTGGTTCTTGTGAAGTCAATAAATGCTTTGCTTTTCCTTATGTTTTTAATCTGTAATACGCAGCACTTGCTTTTCTTATCAACACGTATTTGGGTGTACGTATACCTGTGACAGTTTTGTTGCTGCCTTTAATGCTGCGATAAGCGTTTTGCCTTTGTTTTGCTCGATTGTCTTTTTTGCCGAGCACTTCTTGAACTAATTTTGATAAGGGGGGAAGTTTATTAATGCCACCTGAGCTGATATAGCCTTCGATAGCTCAGTTGGTAGAGCGGTGGACTGTAGAGGTGATCAGAATGCATTCGAAGTTGGCAGGCATCCATAGGTCGCTGGTTCAAATCCGGCTCGAAGGATTTATATTTTATATCTTGACTAGAAAATACTTACTTTTGATACCTTTCCCCACTTATGAAAATAAATAACTTCAATGATTATTTTTTTAATAAATTGTTTTTCTTTTATATTTTCCTTCTTTCTTTTCCTCATAGCTCCCGCATCATCATCATCATCGTCGTCATCAAAAATATGCTTTGTTTTAAATAAATAAAATAATAAAGTTTATGTGAAAAATTACATATACAAATCGTGCTCTGCAACATCAGGCACGAATCGATATTTTCCTCTCATCGGTTTTCTTTTTGTGGGTTTTCATTTCTTTCTCTTTCTTTCGTTTCTATTAATTTATCCAACATGCTGAGCTTAGGCGTTAGGTCTTAGATCTCTAGATTAATTAACGTTTACGGATTTATTCGAGCTTAGCTTAGAACGCATAACGATGTAAATAGTTATTCATATATTTATAGAGCATACGTTTGTTTATACAGTTACGTTTAGTTGAATTCGGAACGAGGCTTGAATACCCTTTCGTCGATATGTTTGAGTGTGTGTGTGCTTATGGATGAGTGTGTTTGTGTGTGTGTGTGTGCTGGTGTGTGTATTGCATATAAGTATATAGGTATTTAGTACATATACAAGAGAGTTACATATGCAACATCGGTCTACAACTACGATACTCGATAGTTCCTAGGTAATTTCAAGTCATTATTCGATTACACTCTCGCTAGTTAATTTACAAGTGGTTTGCTATTGCTTTATAAAATTATTAACAAAAACGGCTAGTAGAATAGTTCTCCTCTCCACAAACATGTACATACATAGATACCAGTTCGCATCGATAAGGTTGTTTCACATATATATATATACTCGTCTATATATATATTAGCATTTTTATACAATTTGTTCAATTGGTCGCTCTTACGCTTACTTTACTCCTCCTTCCTCTCCTCCTCTTCCTCTTCCTCTTCATCTTCCTCGGCAGCAGCAGCTCACACAGATACGAAAGTATCTGACGGATGGGTGGTTCTTTAGGGGGCTGGGGGCGTGGCATGGCGGCTATTTACAGTGGACTAGGCTCTCGGCTATCGGCTCTCGACGAATCGCTCTGATCTGTGACTTTTCCCCAGCCTGGCTGGGGAAACCGACAGAGGATCCAAGGTGGGCGGTGGCTGGCTGGCTGGCGGATTTCTCTAGGGGTGCGTGGATGTGGGCGTGGCTGCCGCTAGTTAACGACTAAAGTCTAACGATTTACACTTAAAATTCAAATATTCAGTCCATTTTGTTTGCGTTGTGTTTAAAGCATTGACGGCTTGGAACCAAACAGCATTTGATGCTCTCTCGCTCGCGATCTCCACCCATTTGCACCTTTTTGCGATTGCAGTTGCAAGGTGGTGCTTTCTAGTGGTGGTGGTGGTGCGATGGTGCAAAGGTGCAAAGGTGCGATGATGGTGGTGCGAATCTATCGACAGCCACAGCCCACCACGGTCATCTCCTGGTAGTTCTTCAGCACCACCGTACTTTGGTCGTTGAGATAGAGCATGGCCACGCTGTCCAGTTGCGTGGGCACGCAGCACGCCTTCGGCACCTTGCCGGGATTCATGTTGTTGACCAGCGTCTGCACCACCGCGTGGTTCGTCGAGTTGAAGTGGTCGGCCAGCGGGAAGGGGCACTTCCCATGGCAGTAGTACGCGTCGTAGCCCAGCGGCGCCACAATCCAGTCGTCCCATCCGACATCGGAGAAGTCCACGTAGAGCGAGTGCCGGCGGCAGGTGTCGTCGTGGTTCTTCCGCCGCGGCTGTCTCCTCGGCTGCCGCTTGTTCCGCCCACCCCCCTTGCCGCCCCCCTCACCCCCTCCGCTGGAGGACACGTCGCGGATGGAGCGCGCCTTGTGCCGCCCGTCGTCGGTGTAGGTGAAGAGCAGCGGCTGCTTGTGCTGCCACCGCTCGTGCGCCTCGTCCGCGCTGCGGCGCAGGCGCACATGGTGGTGCGGCGCCGGCTTCAGGGAGCGGACCGTCCGCACCTCCACCAGCAGGCCGTAGTTGCGCTGCGGACTGGCCAGCCACCGGTCCACGGCCGGCTGGACGTCGAGGCTCACCGTGTCCGTGCTGTTCAGCCGGACCGTCTTGGTGTCCAGCAGCAGATAGCTCGGCTCCCGCTGGCCGCGCACGCCCACCCGCGTGATGTCGTAGACGAGCACCTGGTAGCGCGTCCGGTTGGCGGACGACGACCTGGCCACCACCTGCTGGCTGAGCGCGTCCCGCGTCAGCTGCAGCTCGGCGGCCTTCAGCTTCTCGTCGCCGGGGATGCTCTTCACGTCGAAGTGCAGGCGAAACCGGTGGTGGTGCGGGAACCGATCATCGATTTTACTATCTGCAACAAAAAATTACACAAGAAATACGTGATGAGATTCAGTTATTAATTAATAAAAACTAATAAGTCAATAATTAAATAAATTAGGAGTTTGGAGTTAATGGATACAGATTTATATATTTAACATTATTAACAAATAGTTTCCCATGAATCTTTGAGCTATGAATGCTTCAAATCCGTTTTCAAATTAAATAGTTATAAAGACGAATTAAGAGCCTACCTAACCCATCAATAAATAAATAAATACTCTCTAACTTTTCTAAGCATTCTCTTTAAAGTGTAAAAAATGTTATATTAAATAGTATATCTCGACTAATATTTTGGTTGAGCACCACCTGCCTGCTCTATGCGCCCTAAATCGGAATCAGCGAATTAAGCCGGTCGATCCGGTGGATCAAGTGCAAGAGCCCCGATCCGTGGGGATATAAAGCGGGCCAGGGCTCGGATCTCCGGATGGCCAGATGATTAGACACACCTCGGCCGTCTACCTGGCTGGCTGGCTGACCGGCAGTAAGTAAGTACCCCTGCTTAACTACACCCACTACAATCGAGCGAGTGGAAAGTGCAGGGAAATCTGGGACAAAGAAGGTCGCTGCGAAAATCGCACGTTCCAGTTGTCCGGCCAGCCGCCTTTTTACGACTGGCGCCTGTGCTAAAGACCCTGGCCCACCCCGGCCTACCTCTTCGGATCCGCATACCATATACCATACTATACTATAGGTGTACCTATGTATATGGTTGTGCGGCAAGGTGCAAACTCTGCACGCTTGCCGAAAATCTTAATTTGAATCGACGCCGCTCTCAAGTACCTTGCACAAAGGAAAGCGAGTCGTAAATTCTTTTGGGAAGCGAGAATCGAGCGGCGGGATCCGACAACCCGACAAAACGGACTCAAACGGCACAGATGCCGAGCCGCGGGAACAGACGTGGCCAAAAACCAAGACAAACTCGACTCGCCAGTCGGCTTAGACACTTGGCTTTAGACACTTGGCCGGCCAGCTAGCTACCTGCTCCTCTAACTACTTTATTGTTCGACCCTATAATCCTGCGGAAAATAATGCGAAATACGCTTTAATAATAATTGTTATTCCTACAAATACAATATAAAAGCCATTTAGCGCATGCGCTAAACGTTCCTGGTGTAATTCCTCGGAAAAGTTTCAAGGTCACCGTTGGGCTGTCATCGCGGAGCAGCAGCAGGTAAACAGGTAAAAGGACTCGCTCGTGTCCTTTTAGCCGTTCGCCTGTTCATTTTGGAAAGCCGTGGAATTTCCGCGTGATTTCACAGCGCTTGCGTGAATGATACAGGGGAGGATCCTCGAGGGATCCTAGAGGGTCGAAGGAGCCGGAGCAGGTATGCAAATCGCTTAGATGAAACGGAATTTCAGGGAAAATCCGAGGCGCTCTTCATTCGCATTTTGGTAGCGGAAAGTACGCGTTGCGATGAGTGGGAGTATAAGCTCTGTTTTAGAGAGAGCAGGTGGAAAATCCAGGTATAGGAAGTAATCGAAGATGGATTTGATTGCGCTTGGCCTTGATTTGTGTCCTAATAAAGTGGGCTGGTTTCGGTTTTCAATAATGTATGCTAGTGTGGCTGATTAAATATACCTAAAAGTGTATCAAATGATCTAGATAAACCAGTATACAATTTATTTGGTCTACATTTCTCAATAAAAATGGTAATGTAGTATCTGCATTTTATATAAAAAGGTAATATAATTCGGACGATCTCTTGCCAAAAGAATGACTTTAAAACAGGATATAAAATATAGTCAAGAAATGTTCCGCATACCTTGACTTTATGTTGATCTACTTAAATTTCAAAACAACAAATTTATGGAGATCTTTTCCACTAATTTAAGTTATTGCAGGAAATAATTGTAAAGCAGCAAATAATTGTTAAGCAGAAAAGCAATTTAAATATTGTACTTTAACTATATTTTAAACATATTTTTCCGTTCTATCCCTGCAGTTCTATAATATTCTAAAGCCCTATACATTCTAGTAAAATTGTTCAAAAAAGAGTTATGCAAAACTCACCTTTGTGTGTAAAACTTCGCACTGTGTTGGCCGACTTGGTCAGCAGGCCCGGCTTGGGGATGTTGACCGAGTCGAGCTCGTGGCCCATGATCTCGGCGTAGAGCTTCTTCATCGGCTCGGGGATGATGATCTTGGAGCGGTCGATCTTGGGCGGCCGCTTCATGTTGAACAGCGAGAGCAGGCTCTTCTCGATCTCGACTAGAGTGGAGGGGTCCGGCTTGAGCTTGTCCTTGATCAGCGCCTCCTTGCTGTAGGTGGACGGACCCTGCTCGGCCACGATGGCCGCGGCGTTCGCCGGCACATTGATGGAGGCCACCTCGCGGTCGAGCACCAGCGTCGGCTCCTCCACGAAGATGGATTCAATCGAGGATTGATGAGATTCTGTGGATGCACTTTGGCTGCTCGGCTGGTGGCTCCGATTGTGGTTGTTGTTGTTGTTACTGTTGTTGCTGTTGCTGTTGTGATGGTGGTGGTGCTGCCGCTGCTTCTTGTGCTGCTGCTGCTGTTTCTGTTCCTTGACAGCCATTTTGTTGGGTTTTGGGTTATTAACTAGTTGTTTAGACTTATTTTTGGAATTTTCTAATTGGTCTGTTCTTGGTTTATGCACTTCGTTGAACTCTCGGCTCGCGTCACTTTTGCTATTTTTCTTGTTGTTGTTATTTCGCTTGTTGTTTTTGTTATTTTTAGTCGGCGAATGGCTTTTATCACTGCTATCACTGAACGGCGCGGACTCGCTGAAGAACGGGTTAAATGCTTTCGCTAATGCTGTGCTGGGTGCGCTGGCTCCGGCCGATCCTGGCCGAGATCGAGGTCCTGATCCGGATCCTGATCCTGACTCCAGCGGAAGCTGGAGCGGTGGCACAACGGGCGCTATGGCGGCGATGAATCTCTGGGATATATCCTCGGTGCTAGCAACTCGAACGATCGTTTGAAAGGTCGCCAGCACTGCGAGGAGTAGAAGCCATGCGCGCATGGTCGCTTGCAACTCTGAAACGAGACAAAGACGAAGACATGGGTTAAGCGCTGCTCGGCAAGGGTTACGACGCTCTGGATGCTCCGTTCGGATCAGATCCGATCGGATGGGATCGTATGGGATCGGATGGGATGGGATGGGATCGGATCGGATCGGATCGGATAGCTGGATCGCGTTCCACTCAATCCGCTCTTGCACTCACACTCAGGCGGCCATGGGTGCAAGCGGGACGACTATAGGGTCCAACTCTTTCGTATCTGCCAGATACTATCTGGTATCTTTCTCTCAATGTATAAGTATGTGCGCGTATGTGTGTCTCTGAGCGTGTGTGCGTTGGACGACGTGCGCTGCGCGACTGAACGCTGCTCTTCTTCTTCGGCAGGTAAGGCAGGCGACGTCGGCAGCGGCGGTAGCTGCGACTGCGACTGCGGCAGCGACGCCGCTTCCTTTTGGCCCACTTGATGAGCGTAAAGAGAGCAGCGCCTGGCCAAAGTTTTATGGCCCTTCTCGGGGTGAAAGGTGCAACTAAAAAATGGTGGCTCTTCCCTCTCTCCCCTTCCTCTCTCTCTCTGTCTTTCTCTCGCTCTCTCTCTTTTTCTCCCCCTCGCTGTAAGTACCCCTCTCACTTGCTCCTCGGCAAGTGTTGCAATCGCAGGCGGACATTGCACCTTTTGCACTGACACACGATCTTTTGGGACCGCTTTATCGTTTTGTGTCTACGAATAGAAATTCAATCCAAGCACCCCGCTACACCCGCCACACCCCCCACGCCCCCCAAAAGAGCCACCCAAGCCCCCCATTTTTCGGTTATTAGAGTAGCTTCGATCGTCATATTTTCCACTTATCGCTGGCGCTTTGATTTACAAACAGGCGGCAAATGCTCAAACAACCCGAGAGAAAACTTATCTGGAAAATTTATGAAAATTATTAGAAGTATTCTATATATTTCGGCTATAGGCTATAAATTTCCCAGATTTTATCTCAAGATGAGTTTGAGAAAGGTACGCACACGCACACACCTAGAACAAATTACATGTTGTTTTTCACATAAAGATTACCATCTTATCTTGTACTAAAAAATTTGTTATACGACAGGCGCTTAGGCGCAAAGGGATCTCTCTTCGACGAGAATGGTTAAATTGGAATTGGGAATCTAGAATCAGAAATTTGAAATTTGGAAAAGATGGCACACGCTGGGGGGTGCACAAGATCTGGGGACTCTGATAAGAGGTCGAGGGAAACTGGTGGACGAAATCAGGAGGGGACCGTGGAAAGGGTGAATGAAATTGAATTTCATAAATACGTTTATGATTTGTTCATAATTTGTTGTTTGTTTTTAATACGTTCCCAGAATTCCGTGGGCTGTGGTTGCGTGTGGTTTCAGTTTCAGTTTGAGCCAGCGTTTAGCCAGCGTTTTATACGTTCTTTACTACCTGCCCGCTGGAAGTGCCGGTGATCTGGGACAAACGGGGGTTTCCCTAGACATCCGACCGATGAATGCCAGGCGCTATCCGGGATTTCCAAGCTCGCCGTCCATTCAGTGAAACTAAGCGCGAACTAGATACCAGATACTACAAACTACAAACATCCATAACTCGCACTCAGCTCAATTCGAGCTGTGAAATGTCGCAAGCGCCTGCTAAAGTTCAAATTTCAGCTTTTTGTCGCGGCACCAACGACTCCGACTCCGAAATGTTTCGCAAATTGACACATTTCTGTTATTAACGATTAACGTTTGATTCCGGTTACCCAATACCTCAGCACAACACCTCACCTCACACACCTTGCCCACATAGCACATAGCACAGATATAGTATACTAATCTGTGCCGCACAACGTCAGCAATTAGATCGGTTAATAATAAACGCCAGCTAGACACAAAAACCTCGGTCACTCACGCACTCCAAAGATACAATGGACTCGAAGACTATATTCTGCCGGGTTATTTATGAGCCAGGATATTGACATTTCTGTTTTGTCTTTGCCGCCGCTTTTTATGTTCCCTTTTTAGGATTTTAAGAGGGTCCCATCTTTAATATTAGTTGTGTAACAGAACGGTACTTCATTGTGCTGGCCAACAAAGGTCAAGGGTTCTGGGAATATTACCTCTGACTGCAGGACAATACGATTATGATATACGTGGGGAAATATTTTGATTAAGCACGCAAGGTTTTATTGCCAACAGGTTGATTAGAATTTGGGAATGTCCCAATAAAAATTATATTTCAAAAGAATGAGAGGAATAACTATTGAAAGAAATATTTAACATAAAAGAAGTAATTATTTCTGGTTAAAATTAAATGTTCTTGAATACCAATTGGTCCCTAAAACTGTTACTAAGTGGATGAGTACTGTCAACTAATTGACCCTGAATAACAAGACGGCATTTTCGAAATATCCCATTACCAATTCCTATAGCCGGGTTTCGGCCAAGAACAATTCGAGTGCTCTCAAATGACCCAGACCGAATGCCACATGCCATCGACAAGGCGAACAACCTGAAAACTCCTCGGACGGCCAAATATTTTCAATATCAAATGAACTTCGGTTTTGGCTATCAAATGCACAGCTGTCATTATGCAATGGTTTTGTGTGCAGTTCTCACAAGTTCAGATATTAACGTTCACCTCCGCCTCCTCTCCACTCTGGTTGTTTCTTTGTGTTTTCTTCAGTTTTCTGTTTTTTTTTTTTTTTTGACACATTTACATAAGCTTAGTGGACGAAGGCCCGGCACTCACCTCAGTCTTATAAAGTTTCCTATGGTCGAGTGGTATCGCTTGATATTGGATCTCCGGCCCGTATCGCTCAAGTCGAATATCGATACGACATGTGTTCGGTTATTAATTCGAAAGCCGTGTGATGGATCGCCCGGTCGGGAAAGCAAGCAAAATAGGAGCGACCAACTGTCTCGTACACTTTTCGTTCCACTGAATTTATGACGGGATCGGATCGGGATCGGAATCGGGGACTCGAAATCGGAATCGAAATCCGAATGGGAATGGGAATGGGAGACGTTATCGCGGCGAGCGGCTTTCGGTTACACTTGGATATATTTGCACAATTTACAGATGTTTATGGCGCTCGTTTCGCTTTTCAAATAAATCACAACGCTTGTGTAAATATCTGATAGGGATGTTCTTTTGGATCTGGGCCCGCGACGGCTACTGTTTTCCTTCGGTAATTGTAGATGAAGTAGATGGAGTTCTTGTTGAAAATTGTGTTGCCGCATTCGAGGCGCGCCTGGTCGTTTGAAGTGGCTGCGTTGCGAATGCCGCGGCACATGACACCCTGGATTGGGATTTGGGATTTTAGATTTGGGATTTTAGGTTCGGTGTCCTCGGGTGTCCTCGTTGATCTGCGGGATGCACCTGTCACCCGGCGGCTCCTTCGGCTGACGGTTCGAAAGTAATCCACATATTTTCCGACCGACACTCGCGCTACGCACTATGTTTGCCTCGGCCTTAAACCCACTCACTGGCCGTATCTTCTGGGGGCATCTCCAGTATCTGTTTCTCTATCTGTGAATGTATCTGTATCTGTTTGTTGTACTTCGCATTTCGTATTCACAGCTTTATTTGCTTTGGCTGGCTGTTCGGATTTCAGGGTTTCCCTTTACAACCCGTCAGTTGACATTCCACACACTCGCGCAAAACAACCGAGATGCCTCAATTTCTTTGTTTCCGCACCGAGATCTTTTACTTTTTGTTTTTATTTGGGATCTTCACGCGCCGCGAATCTGTAAGATGCTTTTTCTGTGTTTTCAGCTGGCCCGAGAATTTTCCTCGAAAGCTTTGGCTCACTTTCCGCCGCTCGGTTCGCAGTAGATTCAAACTCGATCAGCGCCGTTGAACGACTAACGCCTTTCTGTCTACCTCTACCTGATTCCGATACTTCAGATACTCGGCTCGCCTACAGACACACATGCACTCCCTGCACACACAGATACCACTCCGCGCGCGAGAGAGAGAGAGGGAGAGCTGCGCCCGAGAGAGCCGCCGCCGATCGGGAGAACTCGAAAAGTTCGGGCTTTAGCCCCCCATCTCCATCATTATCGCGATCATGATCACGCATCTCGTCTAGCGTTTCTCGCATTCGGACTCGGATTCCCAGCCAGCGCGACGTCAAAATCTTCCTCGTTCGCTCGCCGCTCTCTTGAGTGACCGCTCGCTCACACGCACACACACTCAGCCAGTTAATTGGTGGACGCTCTCCACCATTTGAGTGGTTTCTCTCCGCGGAGAGAATGCCACTCGTTCTGAGCTTTCGGTCTGGAAACCGCTGGGGTTCGGGAGCAGGCATTTTGGAAAACTCAGGGAGGCTACTAAAGGTTTACGTGGTGAAATATTCTCTAAATATCTTTTAAGCTAGTAATTTCCAAATACATGTCTACTATCTAAAATACATACTTTAAAAACTTCAGTTCAAAAAAATAAAGATCTAATGCAGATTAAGAAATATATTCTTGCACAGAATAGTAAGCCAATTTTAAGCTTATAAGTAGAACAAAGCCATTCATTTTGTCTTCGATCATTCCGAATTGAATTAAGTATTTAAAACAAACGCTTTCTTTAACAAGACGTTTGAATTACAAAGCCTAAATTTTTAATTATTTTTGAAAAAAAAGAGTAGACTCGTACTAATAACATTTTTTTTAGCCAAAAGATTAAAGATTCAAGGCTTTTGAAACTCACAAAGAAGCAATCCTTTCTGTTTAAACTCGTCTGGAGTATCCACCTACTTACTTTTGAGACTCCTGCGAATAAGGTATCCAATCAACCGAGGCGCTTCCTTCGGCCAGCGGAGTGGAGCATTTAGCTGTCGGGGATTCTCGAGCTGCACGAGCGCAATGAGCCAAGTACGAAACCAAACTGTCTGCGCATTCCTGAAGTCTGGGACTTCGGCTGCTCGGATGTGGCAGCCAGAAAGGCAGCGGTGGAATAATGACGATGACGTTGATCGTGATCATGATCGTCCACCGGTCCACCGATCCACCGCACATGCCACGGATCGCGTGAGAGCGAGCGAGAGCCCCCGACTTTGGGTGCGCTCAATGTATGTGTGTGTGTGAGTGTGTGTGTGTGTGCTTAGGTAACGAAATCCTTGGCAACAACACAAACAGAAAACGAAATCAAAAAGTCAGGAATTAGTATAATTTTATTGGTCGGAAGGCAAGAGGTAAAAAAGGGCAGCGGTGGCAGCCATAAGAATGACACATGCCGGCTCTTTCGCACTCAGGCACACAGATACCCAACACCAGTGCAAACAGACTGCCAGCTAAATGCATTTTAACTGCCTTTTGTTGTTGCACTTGTTTGTTTGTGGAGATGACTCTACGTTTGGTAACTCGGCTCTTTCCTCGACTCTGTTTTTTTTGTTTTCGACTCTGCAACACCCGCGCATGCGCAGCCAACGTGACTCTGCCACAAAAGATCCCAGTTGCTGTTGCTGTTGCAGTTTTTGCAGTTCTTGCTGCTGCTGCTGCTGCTGTTACCAACTAAGCAGGTGCTGCCAACCAGCCAGCAAGACGGCGAATATCTGGGCTTGGGAGGTGGAGCTGGCCCAGCAACTTGCACATTGGCAAGAAGCTGCTAGTTGGCATTCTTAAAGGTCTGATTAGGGTGGAGGAATCAGTTTATACAATTGAACATGAATAATATAATCTTGTAATATATAGAGTTGCATTTATATGAATTTCTAACAGTGAGAATTATCTACATTACTTTTCTTCTGCACTACAATAAGTTCTATAAGGAAGTTTGCCAAGTTACATAGAGTAACCTAATTACTTGACCCACGGAAATGAAGCTGATCTGCGAGAACCTTCTGTCTATTCCTACTCACATCCCATTCAAGTCCGTTGGCGTCGTCTGGTCGAAGGACTGACCAAATGGAGCGCTGGCAGACACTGTGGCTTTGCCACACATGGCCAACTGGCGCCACGGCTGCTTAAGTAGCCTTTGTTCCTGGCCAGTTCTTCACTTGTCGCCGTCTGTCCGGCACTTGTGCTTCCTTCTTTCAGCGGGCATCGAATTTCCCGGCTATTTCTCTAGTTCCCCGGAAGATGGTGGAAAGGGAAAAATACTATCTCTTTATATATATGTAATTCATTTTTGTACTTTTTCTTAAACCGAGTTCTACTTGTGTAGAATGAGTTTTTCTTAAATCCAAAATCTTGATTACATATTTAAAACTTTCAAGCTTGTACTAAATTTATTAGAGATATAAGTATCCCTTATATAGTTCTCCAAAGCTCAGCTTACATTTCTCTATTCATCATAATTTGGTTTGGTTAGTTTCTACAGATACAAATCCCATCCTCGGTCGACGCTTTGGCTGCTTAACCCCACGATGCCCCACCTCCGCGCGGTGATTCATGCCCATTGGCGCACAGAAGAACTCCACTCGACGGCCACGCACACAGATACACAGGCACAGACACAGATACACAGATACAGATTCCGAGAAGAAGGCGGGCTCCAAAGTTCGTGGAGATCCTTTTGTATGTTAATCGTCTGTCTGATTTGTCCGTCTCTGTGTGCTCTTCTGTTCTGCTGTTCTTCGGTTCTGGTGTTCTGGCGTTCCTACGATGGTGTTGGTGTCGTTATGTGCTCCTCCTTCGACTCGCTCTGTCTCGCTCCCCCCTCCGATGGGCCGCTGCATCCGGCAGATAAACAGATACAGAATCATTTGCCCTGTGGAATGCCGGCTCTCCACTCAACTTTAATGGCACTTAATTACCTTTTGCACGGCCCTGCTTATCGGACCACCAGAAATCTGAGTCCTTGGACGGCTTATCGCCGTTTGCCATCCCTGGCGCTACTTTCACTGGTCGACAGAAAGAAAGAGCGTCAGTTGGAAATACGAAATCCATTATCAGCCGGCGTTCATTTATCAAGTGCTCGTGTGTCATTTGTTAGGGGCAAGTGCCTGGCAAAAACATCTCGCAGCGCAAAAATCCAAAGCAAAGTCGAGCTCCGGATGAGAGGCAGGATGGGGGTTCTAGACGGCTGTCTACTGACCACATGCCAGGACCTCTTTCACAGCAGGATCGCCCGATTCCGATCCCGATCCCTTTGCGCTCTCTGTTTTCCCTGGCACGCAACGGGGGCGTCCGTCCTAATTGTCCTCGAAGAGGATGCGGGTTCTACGACTGGGATAGTTTAATCAAAGTCCAGGAGACAGGATACTCGAAAGTAACCATCTTTCACAACTAAAGTAACTAAGAAAAGGGGAATTCTACAAAGCTGTTCTTTCTTTTCTATACCTCTTAATTAATAGTAAACTGTAATATATACAAGTTGTAAATACAATCAACCAGCTTACAAATTAAACGTATAATTGTGATATATAACCTCGTAATATTTCATAAGGTTAAGGGTGACCCAATAAAGATATCGTTTTCCCGAAAACTGCCCTCCCCCAATTAGGCAACATAATATGCCCACTGTAATGGGCTCTAGTGTTTCAGCTGCCTCGCCACACAGTTTATCAACAAATGGACCTCATTAGGGGATCCTTTATACGTGCCCATTGATTCGCTCCGTTTCGCTGGGCTGCTGGCCGACTGGCTAATCAATTACCTCCGAGCGAGCGGCCGGCGAACAAAAGTCGCCAAACAATGCCGCTTGGCACGTGGACGGCGACGAGAGCCTTTCACCGCCGCCTGCCTTCAACTTGATGGAAAGGTGACAGTCACAGTCACTTCAGAAAAACCAGACCGACTGCAGATACAGATACATCTACAGGGGAACAGATACAGATACAGATACAGATGCGGAGACAAAAACACAACCTCAGAGGCAGCCGCAAAACTGCAGGCGGACGAGGCAAGTACAATCTGAGCTAAAATCCGATTCCGAATGCGAATCTGAAAACGAATACGAATCCGATTCCTGGACAATTGTTGCTCGACTGGCTCCCTGGATTCTGGATTCTTGTTGGCTCCGCTGTCTTTTGTTCAATTAAAACGTTATTATTGTGTGTTTTGCCCCGGCGATGAATGACAAACTGGCTGTAAACTGCAACTGGGGACTCGGAGTCTAAGTTGCATCTTGTGAAAGCTGATCCTGAGCGTTTTGTAAGAAGCGGGGCATGGATATGGGTTTCGGTCTGGGTCTTAGCTTGGTTTTCAGTTTTCAGTTTGGGTTCGGGATCTTGTGGTAATTCGATGCCGCCGCCGATGTCCCTTCCTTTGTTGTCGTCGGAATCGTTTTGTTTGTTTATAAATTGGTAACAAAGCCTCCTCCGCTGGCCATTAGCCATCAGGATCAGCAGTTGATTTATGCATTTCTGGCCGTAACCCAATACCTTTGAGGCGTTTTATTAGCGCCAGTTAATAATTCCCCTGGGAACATTGCAATTAAACATGAGCGGTTAATAAAGGCAGTTCCAGAGTCCATTATTTTGACTTGATTGATTGCAAAGCCCTCAGCAATTTACAATCCATTTATGGTTTATAGAGAGTATGAAACTCTCTTCTCTAAAGAAGAGCCTTCTTGCACTCGTCAGCGGCGTGAGGCAATCCCAAGTGGAAATGGGGAGGGAGCCACATGGCTCCCACTTTATGGAAACAGTTTGAATTCGAATTAACACAGCGGGCAGCCGCATAAGCATTAAAAGTCAATTGCAATTAAGTTCGGTTGAGCATCCACGTATCTTTTTCGAGGGGACGTGCGAGAATATCAAAGGTGGATGGCTGGGAGCCCTCTCGAGTGGGCCACAAATCAAATTGGCTCCCTGATCCATGGATCGGAGATCGCGGATCGAAGATCGGAGTCGGGAGCTAGCGCCATCGATAAAACTTAAAGGCCACCATAACTGTTAAGCCGAATGGCGGCAAATTGCA